CATTCGCATATCACCTTGAAACTCATTTATCAGATAAGCTAATGTGGAAGTCTTTTCAACCTTCTTAACGACGTTAACGTGAGGTTTTGCTTGGGAGGCAAACTTTTTGTTTAATCTTTCTACGGCAACAATTTCCCATATATGCCATTTGAACACGTTTGCAGAAACAAGGTATTTAAATAAAAAAAATGCTTTTTCACCTAAAAGTGACATTCTGGAAATATTTCAAATTTTTTTTTATTTTTTATTTTTTTTCTAAGGGCCAAATTCACAGTGTGTAGATAACCACTGGAAAAAGTTTAACTATCGATTTCGATGTTGTGGAACAAATTTCAAATTTGTATAGAAAAGTGTTGATTTTTAGAATTTGTATATTGAATAATAACTCATGGTAATTATTTAATTTTTAGTGGTTTTTGCATAAAATACTAAGTGATATTCGGGAAATATTTAGCCGTACTTACCATGCTGCAATGATAAATTCACTTCAAAACACAAAATAATTGCTTTTATTTAGTTACATATTTATTATGTAATTCGATCAATAGCTTCTTGCGCTTCTTAACTGCAATGCACTTAGGCAAGCCAAAGAACTAATCTTAATATTACGGTAAAATTAAAAAAAAAAAAATACATTCTGAAAAATTCCGAGGACAACACTATAATTACGGTGACCATATTTATGGAAGCCGAATATGGGACAAAAACAATTTTGCAAATTTTTTCCACAAAAGCTTAGAGATCTTAAAAGCTTCTTCAATGATCCTAGATGTGTTCACCCAAAAACAGCATCCTTATAGTAGTAACATTACACATTTGTAGAATATTGTTCTCGAGATTTTTACCCCGCGAAATTTGTTACAAAAAAATTCGTTAAATTTTAGGTTAATAAAATGCAAGCGCAATCAGTGGTTAGCAGTGCTCGGTACCAAATCGAATTTCTTCTAAAGACTCTGATTTTGATGAAACTTTGCATAATTAATTTTGATAGTTTTTGCAAAAAGTCGGAAGTTTGGATTTATATGGTTCTTGTTGGGAAAAGCGATTTACTTTCATAAAAAAATAATAAACGTTAAGTAAACAAAAGCAAACTAGCCAAACTTGGCTAAGATGTTGAGTCCTAATTTATATTTTGGTCACTGTATGTGTTCCTCAATTCGAAGCACAGACATTCAGATTAGAAAATAATAACTGTTTATGGAGAAAATTACGATCATATACGAACATCACTTAAAACTGTTTCATAGGCACGCCATTTTGATGAGCTGGCAAGGCGTGAAAATACTGAACACCGAATACGGGACTAATACAGGACATTAAAAAAAAAAATACAGAACATTTGGCGCCCCGTGTAGAATAAATAAATTACCAGGACAATTGGTCAAAAAAGAGGACTGTCCCGTACAATACAGGACGGATGGTCACTGTAATTATAATAGAAAGCCATGCTTATTCTGATAAAAATTTTCAGGCAAAAATAGAATAAAATAATAAAAGTTACGGTTGTCCTTCACAAATAGTTACAACTTTTTCCGTTGGTTTTTTGCTTAAACTTTTCCATGTTGATTATCGAATAACCTGAGCGGGGAAAAATATTTTTATATGGAGTTTGCATAATATATCAAAGAAATACCGTTCGCAAAAGAAAACAAAACGGCTTACAATAATAAAAAAGTTTTGTTGGTGGTTTATTATTTGGATTGTACATATAATGCTGTTTTTGATTCTTTGTTTTTACCACCATAAAATAATAATGTATGTACTCGATTATAGCAGCCGCAGTACTAAATATAATTATAAGTATCTATGCTCAAATGCCTTCGGAAATTCTAAATTGATATGTTGTAACGAATATATGTATTTCATAATAATAGCTCTATTAAACGTAATCCTAAATACATGTAATACATATGTATGTATTACAATTATCGGCCAATGGAAGCCGATCGACTATCATCACCCCAGCCTAATTGCTGCTTCAGATAACACACTGCTTGCCTCTACGATGTTGTCTGACCACTTTTTTTTTGTTGCCACCACCGATCGCTATGGTGCAGTAATTGTTGTATGCAACATGCTGACACATGCGATCAGCACTTTTCTATTATACATAATATTCCCGTTACCGACAGTACCCACTTGTTGCAATCTATTGTGCGGGAGGAATAGAGACGCAAGAGCGTAGAGATAAGTGTTGATAACGTGCCGATGCCATGCCATGCCCTGCTATGCTTATGTGACTATCGCAGTGGAAAGTGCAGTAATTTACTAGTAGTAAGTTTACGTTCGAGTTGTACGTATAACAAGGAATTAGACGACAAATAAATGTTTTTAGGAATCTGTTAATTTATTATCGTTGCTCGGATTTATACTTTGTTTTCGAGTCCCGCTCCGCGTTTAGCACACTAAAGGCCGTTTTCTGAAGTAACCTTTAACTTTAACGCTCACTTTATATTTAAAAGTTGGATTAAAAATGAAGCTATGTCTAAGGTGAAGCATTTCTATTATCGATTTTTGACGTATGTATGTTTCTTGGTTGTTAACCAACTTAAAACTGATAACAAAGTGCTTTACTTTAGACACAATCATAAATTTTAATACAACCTTTAAATATATCATCTACATACATATATGTATGTATATAATTGCTCAGTCATACGACTTAGTTAGGGCGATCTGTAACAGACAAAAAATTTAGCTACATATATATCAAATCAAAGTGCAAGCTGCAGTTGCAGTTGACCTTGTTTTTCACAAAAGTAAGAAGTGGCAGAAAAGTCGATAGTGAGCAATAATCTATTGAAAAATATTTACCAATTTTCCGTGGAATTAAGATTCGGAAAAGGTATTAGGTATTATTCATATTCTTCAAGTATATTTCACGAAAGCAGAAAATAAAAATAGTTGAGATCACTTTCTCTTTTAAACACCTAGGATATCACTGACCATTATAAAGAACCCTGAATGACGGCAAAGCTCAAAAGCTTCCACAAATTTGTGGAAGTGATTTTTGAAATGAACGATCCAAAATCAGCCAGTATGCATATTTAAAAATTTTTAGAATCCGTGGTTGAATTTTTGCACTGAAAGGGTTAAGAAAGCGTTGATTTTTGAGATTTTTTTTTTTTTGGTGAAGGATTTTTGCACTTTTTTCCATATAAGCATGAATTTCTATGAAAAAATCAACGCCAGTTTCAATAAATTGCACTTGTTATATAAAAAAGACCGAAAAAGTAGTCTCAAACAAAAAATTCTCAAAATCAATGCGATTTTTTAGCCATACCAGCTAACTCGAAAAGTTAATTTTTACTTCGCCAAAGTAGACATTCTTTTATGGAATAAGGGTCATATGTATGTACACATGTGCATATTAGGGTGGGTAAAAAAAAATCAAGTATTTTTTTTTTGGATCCGACACACGAAAACTAGTTCCTAGGTACCTATAGAAAGTACTTACCAAATATGAGCTCTTAATATTAACAGGAAGATTATGCTCATCATAGTTTTCCATCAGTCAATTTAGTCTCATATAAAAATGGTCATATCTTATCACCAATATATCGTTAAACCAGTTGCATCGTCAATATTTATAGGAAATTGAATGCTCTACAAAAATGGTCTCCTATACTCTTTCCATTAATCTAACCATTTAAAAGATACTCAAGGTCAAAGATTAAAGTATTTTAAGGAAAATAACTTTTTGTTTTGAATTTTGTCACTTGCTAAAAAATAATTATTGTCAAAGGAGTTTCAATTATTTCTATAGGAAATTAAACGCTCTACAAAAAAGGTCTCATGTAGTTAATCGATTACTCTAACCTTTTACAGTAGAATCCCAATACCTGATTTTAATAGTTTTACAATAAATATTTGCAATTTATCCATTCAATTTATGAATTTTGACAATATTCATGGGAATTTGAGTTTATTTCAGTTTTCAAGTTATTTCTTATCTTTTGTTTGAGAATATATTTCTTTCGAATAAATTTTTTAACTATATTTTCTTTTCATAACTTTTATCACAATTTAGGAACGTTTTTATTTTTATGTAAATTTTTTAAGCTTAAACCGTTTTGTCATTTGAGGGGATTTTTTCAAAAAACATCTTAAAGAAACTATTTTTATTCATAAAAAACTCAATTTTTGAAGGTATTTTCAAATCAGTCCAGCTCGCTTAAATCTTAATATTTTTCCGAAATATTTTGGTGGACGTCCTAAAATATAATAGATTTTATAATTCCAATGGAAAAACAGTACCGATTTTTTTTTTTGTATGCGGAGTTATGCAGTCTAATGTACATATGTATGCCTATGCGCTACTCTCTTATCGTCTTTGCATCTGGTAGCAGTTTTTGCAGGGTGCCCCAGGTTTGGTACCTTACCTTTATTTGACCACGACAACCAACCAAACTACAAAGTAAATATTTAAGTTACCAGCTGAATGCTCCAACGAAGAAGACGACAGCAGATCGTAGAGGTGGCTCCTGAAAAGGAAGCATCAAATATGCACTCGCACTAAACGATTTGTGCGCTTTGCAAAAGAGTAAGAAGCAAAATGAGAAAAGTGCATAAATACATACCTAGTAGCTCCAATAACAAGATAAGCCAGCAACATTGGCGACTAGAACAACCACTCGCTGTGATGCCAAGAAGCATGAAGCGTTGCTACAGCAGAAACTTAGGAGAAGTTGGTGGGGGAGGCTGCGAAAAGTATACTGCAAACAAAGGCATATTCTCTTTTCAAAGCATAACAAGATTGGCTCTTAAGACCACTGTCAGTGCAACGAGGTCGTAGAGCACATTGGCCAGAGAGAAATATAAACAAATACATACTTTGATGATACATACTTACCTGAACTCTGACGATGAGTGAGTGCATCGAACAAAGAAAGCGAACTCCATCCACTCAGTAAAGCGCACTACTTAACGCCAGTAAGCAGCTGGCGGCGGGTCGATGTAGAGAATACGTAGCAAGTTTGCTATGGGCAACCAACCAGCTTGTTTATAGAGTCCGACGCTACGATGATGACTCGCACGATCTTCTCAGCTTCTCACCAGCTGGTTAAGTTGACGACGCAAGCGGAAGCGAACGCGCTACATCGAACTTGCATTGACGCAGAAGGCATTGAACGCTCGCACGTCCGTCCAGGCATTGGGGGCTATTGAGTTTGCGGTCGAGATCAGTTGAATCGCGGCAGATCGACCAAACGGACGCTAAAGCTGCAACGCCGGAACCGTAAAGAACAGCAAAGTTGAACAAGCGCACGCGAAAATTTCAATCGGGTGGCGGTGTACAATAGCTGATGTTTCTTTTGTTAGAGTCCTGATCTTGAAGAGGGCTCGAAATTTTTTACAAATTTTGTGATTTGCGGTAAATCAATTTATGATAATTGTTGTGAAAAAAAAATCGCGAGTGTGAGAACTGTGTAGATTTAAGTACATACATACATATTCTACTAATAGCCATAAACTTAACATAAAAAGTCTGGTCGTGGGCAAACGAATAAATAGCAAAGACACGTTTGTAAGCTCACTTGTACACAAATCTCGTGATATTATTTTGCTATGGTTGAATTTATATACACAAAAATAAGCAAAAATACAAAAACACGGGGTGCATCGGAAAAAAGGAACAGAATTTCTGCTAATAAAAGACGTTCCAGGGTTCTTATTTATGAATGGGTCGCTGATATGCATTGGGTGTTTATTGCTCTACCAAAGTCTTGTCTGCGAACTAGGCACATTAGAATAGACCACACAGTTTAGATGCCCAAAAGCTTGGCCCATGTATGCCATTCTACCACTTAAAATACTTCCGCACAGAAAATAGCATCAGGAGTTCTCTGAATTTTTGACTTCTAACCGGCTCAGAGGTGGTCCCATACTAATTCGGTTTTGATCCGATCATTGGATGATGAAGAAAATAACGGTACTCTGAAATTTGTATATAAGAATTGAAGTTGGTTTTGTTTTTTGCTCCAAAATTAGTTTTTTCAATTTAAAATCATAATGGAGAACAATCATATTGAGTCAGAAGATAATTATGTATGGCTTGAAGATTATCATCATGATTATGATTTTGGCCAACAAGGAAGGATTTAAATTTTTTATATATGTAGTTTATAAGCTAGAGCGTACGAAGAAATACGGATGAGACGATGTCTAAAATTTTGCTCTTTTCTCTACCTACATATTTTAATAAAAATCAACTAAAGATTAAGAAGTGCATTTCGTTTTTTCTTTTATATGTATAATCAACTTAAAAAAATAACGTCGATGTTTTTGCAGAACCGCCCATCGACCAGATGCAAAACTGCCTAATTCGCCGTTGTGGCAAAAATGAGATTTGGTAACCCTGAACTCCAGGCATCGAGATTTAGGCATAAAAATCGTTATTAACACAACAGATTTGTAAAATAATAGCCAGAGAAAATACCGCCTATCAATTCAATGCCTTCAAAGAATAAACCGTTTTTTCGCTGTCCTGTAAAATTTGAGTGCCGTAAGATAGGCGGTTTTGCAATTGGGCGATGGGCGGTTCTGCAAAAACATCGACGATATAGTTTTCGCCTAACTTGGGAGCCGAGTATAATTGATCTCCATACTTTAAACCATTTACCCACTGGGAATTGTCACCTAATGAGAAAAATATGTAATAGATCTTACACTGCTCCTGGTGTCCCAATTTCGAACAAAAAACGAATATTTAATTTGGTGAAGAAATGTCTAAAATAATTGCTCTTGACTGAATAGAGTTTGCTGGTTTTAAGTGCTCGTAAAATTATAAAGAACTTTATTTTACGTTCGTGTAATAATGTCGTAATTTCACCAGTTTTTCATCAATTTTAATAAATTTTACCTAGTTAAACTTGGCGGCCGCCGTGGTCGAGTGGTTAGAGATGCGTACTACCACTCGGTAGGTCTAGGTTTCGATTCCTGGTCCGAGTGTATTTCTGCCTTGAAAAAGCTTTTCATAAAACCATCTGCCGTCCGGAGGCGGCGTAAAACTTTAGGTTAGGTTTAGGTTTAGTTAAACTTCGAATAAATAGGCTGTTCTTTGCTGTTTTCTAAACTCAAAATTTCTTCTTGCCTAGCCCACAATTTTTCGGTCAGAGTAGTCATCCGAAAAGTTGAGGTGTTAGAAAGCTTTTTAACACAGTTTCGCAAGTCCTTCGATTGGGTCTACAACCTGCACTCGGTAACTTAAAAAGTTCCAGCAATTATCTTGATTTTGTTATCCCGTATTATCTGAATGAATATCCAAGTAGCAAAACATAATCATTAGAAGAATTGGGGCAGGGACCGTAACGGTTATAAGTTTTATTATAAAAATAAAAATAATGGTTAATGGAAAATAATGGTTACGTTTCAAGTTTTATTTTTTGCTCGGAAAATAATGGTTACGTTTTAAGTTTTATTTTTTGCTCAGAAAATAAAACTTAATTTTTGCGTATGCGTATGCGCTTTTTTCACTTTTTCTTTAGAAATGTGGTTCTCTTTGTTTCTGCCCCATTACCCACTCCACGGTGGCGTTAAAGGTTCAATGCAGCCGCCCCCTGTCTATTCACGCATGCGCATACGCATACGCAAAAATTAAGTTTTATTTTTTACGTTTTGTAACCATTATTTTCCGAGCAAAAAATAAAACTCAAAACATAACGATTATTTTCTGAGTAAAATATAAAACTCAAAATATAATGATTAAACTTGATTTTTATAAGTAAAAATTAAAAAATAAAAATCAGTGCCGCTGAAGGTACTCCGAGTAATAAGAAATATATTGGTTTACTCCTTATGCACGTAGCATTTCTCTTTCCGCGTGATTTTTTGAGTTGAAATTTCAAAGGATACTCGTTATTTGCGGTCACTGTATTAAGTGTCCTCACACATATGTATGTACTACAGTATTTTTATAATAATACCCACTACTGGCCTAAATGTGCAAGTTTTCTGCCTGCATGTATGTAGGTATATGTACATACATACATATGTAATTCCATGATTTAAGCTACATATCAGTTTTATGTATTTCTTAACACTATCAACACGAATTTCCCGCGGCATCTACAAACAAATCACAATAAAAACTTAAACCAAACAAAGAGGCAAACTTTGAATTTCAGAAAAATGCCATAGAATCCTCGATTTCCCATTATATATGTATGTATGTATGTAGTATGTGCATTAGGGTGGCCCAAAAACAGTAAAGTCGTAATTGTAATGCTCTCACCCCTAGGATTTTTCTATATCGAAAAAAGTATATCTCTATTATTTATTTAGAAATCAAAAAATATTTAGAGGGCGCTCAAAGCGCACAAAGTTTTCCATGTATTTTTATATGCGAAAAATAAAATGTTTCGTAGAAATGGTATAGAATTCTTGAAAATCAAAATTTTCGATCGGAAAACTCTGGTTCTCTTCAGGAGACTTTCAGTAATAAGACCCAATTGTTTATTTAACCATTTTTTAATACTAACGGTATTTTATTGGTCGCCTCATTGCATTTTTCGGGGTTTTTGTGGGTTTTTGGCGGACCTATAAATTATAGTTGCGATAAAAAAATGGTTATATAAACAATTGGGTATTATTATTGGGAATCTCCTGCAGATAAACAGAGTTTTCTGGTAGAACAATATGAATTTTTAACTATTCTATACCATTTCCACGAAAAGTTGTTTTTTCCCCATATAAAATACATGGAAACTTTGGGCGCTTGGAGCGATCTCTAAATATTTTTTGATTTCAAGATAAAAATATGAAGATATACTTTTTTCGGTATAGAACAGTCCTAGGGGGTGAGAGCGTAAAAGTTCCGACTTTACTTTTCACATGCATGTTTGGACCACCCTAATCTACATATGTATGTACATATGTATGTACATACGTAGATGCAACGAATTATCTAGCCGGTGAGGAAGTGAAATCTTTTTTTGAAATACAAATTATTTAGTAATCAAAAATCAATTGTTTTGTTAAACGCTTTCAAATCGCTTCATTTTGTTGCTGAACCAATATGCCAGTTCCTTAAGCAAATAATTTGTAACAATTGTTACAAATTATCACAACCTGGTGTTCATGTATCCAAAAAAAACTTGCAGAGTACAGCAAAGTGACAGTTCGCTTGGAGGGGAAGATGGAAATTTTTACTGGAAAAATTCTAACTGGCAATAAATTTTAATAATAATTAATTAATAATAATTAATTTAATATAATATAAGTTATATGAAATAATAAGATAAGGTATACTCTTTTCGTTACGAAATTGCTTCGGAAAATAACAAATTAATCAGCTGCTTATAAATTTTGCAAATTTTCATTAGTTTTGCGTTCACGTACTTTTTGGAAATTTGTCGCTTTGAGAGCGAATTATCGGATATTAAGTTACTGGCAAGTTATTGGATAATTTTTACTGGAGAACAGACCTAATATTTGAGTCATTCACTCCAAATCACAACAGGGGGTAACATGGGAAGCAGCACGAAAATATTTACTTTCCATGGCAATTGCAGCGACGAAGGAAAATAAACACTGCAAGAGTGAGTGCGGAATGATAGCACCACGCCTTTTTATACATACATACATATGTACATACATACATATGAATGTATGTGTTTAGGAACACTTGATTGCATAAATATGCATATGGGCGTTTCCAGCGAAAGGTCTACCGCGAAAAAAATACTTATTTATGGTCCGATTTGGCTGCTTTTTAACCGACTTCAAAAACAGGACAATAACCACGCCTACCTCCCATATAACGGTAATTTTCAGAAATACGAAAACAGCCATATTTTAGTAACACTACTGAAGATTGTTCACTCAAAATTGATATTTACAATAACTTTTAGACGAAAAATAAGAATATTATAAATTTTTGGAAAATGGGCGTAGCCACGCCCACTTATGGTTGCACGTGTATATCTTGGTAACCGCTGCACCAATTTCTTCCAAACTCGGCACAGTCGGTGGCATTAGTACGGCATAACAAATCGTCGAAAAGTTTTAAAATCGGGCAATAACCACGCTCACATCCCATATAACGGTAACTTGGAGAAACACGAAATCTTCGATAAATCAGTAAATATTAAAGCTAATTTATTCAAAATTGATGCTTGCAACAATGCTTTACCAAGAAATACGTTTATGACAAAATTTTGGAAAATAGGCGTGGCACCACCCACTTATGATAACCATATATGTATGTATCTCGGTAACCGTTCTACCAATTTGTACCAAACTCGGCAAGGTTATTGTGCCTGCCACATAGAAGCAAAACATTTAAAATTATTGAAATCGGACTACAATTATGGCCGATTTTCATATAACGGTAAATTTCCGAAATGCTTGAAACTTCAATATTTTGAAATTTGA